CCGGAAATGAAATTGGAACGAATCTTGGTCACGCCTACGGGACGAAAAAACAGCATGATGCATATATTTTGTAGCAAGCATATAAGTTTCTTTTTGAAATCGTACGGGAAATAATATTTTTGCAAGTCTTTAGGACTCTGTTCATTCGGTTTCTATCGCAATCATACCGCACAATTTATGGTCTTCACTTTTTTGTATGACAAGGTAAATTTTTAATGAATTAGGTCCCGGTTGTTCGAAAAGTGGATAACGCCATCCACTGGATAAATTGCGTGGGATGACACGTACGTTTTGTTGACCCTGAACTGCTGGATAGCGGTTTAAACGTTATTTAGTGTTATCCGGCTGCCCTTTGAACAAGTGGGCGCAGACAAAACAAGCCTTCGAACCTACGCCAGTCGCTGAATCGGTTTGTCTGCTGAGAGGGGGCGCCGGTCAACACGTTTCAGTTCGTTTCCGGTTAAAGCACGTCTTAGTAATGGTTTTAGTTGACTCCTGATAGTAAGATGAGATCGTTTGTATTCCGAGAAATCTCATTTTCAGCCGTTACAAAAGACAGAAGAGGAAAACCTTTTTTGCTATTTTGCTGGTACCTTTACATTTTCATCTATCCTTTGAGAGGATAGATAGAGTCACATGAACGTAGGTTTTTCTTAAATAAATAAGTTATGTTAACAGTGATAGTAACGTGCTTTGTTTGGTCCTGCAGGCCTTTCTTGCATGTTCTGCGACGTTTGGTTTTGTTTCCGGCCGAAGCGCGTTATCGATGACGTGCGCTGACTTCTAGGATCAAATGAACTACCTTGTGGTAATAGTCGCCTATTTCGGCTTTAATGAAAAAAGGCGTTTACTTTCAAATGCTAGAGATAACAAATATTATCATTTGTTTTCTTCGACTGAAATCCTTTATTTCTTTTCAAACTGGTATAAAAGGAAGCAGCAAGACGCCGTTATTGTTCAGTTAATTTATTTCTGCTAGTTCTTCTGCTACACAACCCGTAGAAATGCAAAGTTTTCTGAATCAAAACTCTATCGATATTTGTTCCCCGAAGGCTCAAAGTAACATTAAAGAAACAAGTTATTAGTAATTTCCGGCGAGATTGCAGTGTGGTCTTAGGTATATTCAGAAATCCATATATACATATGCATATATATTAAAATCGGCGGCAAAAAGTTTTGTGTCACAAAGAGTACACACATTTTACTTGCTTATCATCATGTCATCGATAATATTACATGAAATAATAATATCAATGGTGGTAATAACAGTAAAAATAGAAATGACAATAATGATAAAAATACAAATGATTTCTTTGCTCGGGCCTCCAATCGAATCTAACACACTTATTGCTCTTAGTTACAATGTGTATAATTATGCCAATTTTATCTTCATAAATTGAGCGACATGTTGTAATTCACGCAACGATTGAAAAGTCATCGATAATAAATGCATGTGCCGTGGCATGCGTATGACTTGAAAACAAAAGGGATTTGATGACTCCTCTAACGATCGACTTCCTGTAGTTCCGTGAAAAGTCCGTTTGAAGGAATACACGCTCCCTCGTTGCTCGAGCATCCGTTCCGAATACAATACATCTGCGACGTTTCGTGGGGATCGATTGACATGAAAGTCAAATAGTCTTAATGGCGGAAGTAAGCAGTGATGATGAAGACGATGAACACGTCTCTATACCTCAAGAAACGCTTGATTGTCACGGTCCTTTCGATATTACTTTGGTGGTCGAAGATGGCATCGAAATCAATGCTCATAAGCAAGTTCTTTCGAAAGCAAGTGAATTCTTTGACACACTGCTCAACGGTAAAATGAGGGAGAGTACTGAAAGAGTAATTCAATTAGAAATGCTTACTGAGGCTGACTTACGACACGTTTTAGAGTTTGTTTACAACGGAAATTTCCAGATATTGACCAAAGATCAAGCCCAGCATTTATACGCAGTGGCTGACTATTTGTTCGTTCAGGGATTACAAAAATTATGTGAAGACTATTTAATAAGTAAGTTGAACATTTCAAATTGCATATCAACCTACTCTTTTGCGCAAATTTACAGCAGTGAGAAACTGATATCCTTCGCCATGCGATTCATCCTTTCAAATTTCACTGCTGTGGCAAAAGAGGAGGAGTTTTTGAACTTGTCGATCGAGGCAGTCAAAGTATGGATCTCAAGCGATGAAATTAACATTGACGCCGAGAAAGATGTTTACCACGTCATTGTTGCATGGGTTGCGCGTGATGTTAACGAGCGCATGGAATATTTTGCCGAGTTACTCTCTCTTGTCAGATTAGTCTATATATCACGTGACTATCTTGTCAATCACATTGCGACAAGTGACATTGTGCGAGAAAGTGAAAGTTGCTTTAGACTCGTGAGGAACATTATAAATTCAATTGATAGAGGGAATCCTGAAAACACCTTATTCGCACCACCTAGAAAGTCGCTTGAGACAACGGTTATAGTTTCTTGTATACAAAAAGGGCCAGAGCAACTGCTATGTTACTTTCCATGTAGAAAAAGGTGGTTTAAGTCACACAATTCTTCACCCATATGTGACCAAGTAATTTCATCTCGTGGCAAACTTTACTTCTTATCCAAGCCCAAGCGCACACTGTTACGGTATGATCCGTTCTTTGATCAATGGAAGACTCTGTCGGTAGAAGGAACACGATATTTGCTGCAAGTTTTTGTCAGTGATGAAGGTGATATGTACTCATTGGAACTCGACATTGAAACATCTTGCTCAGATTGTGCTTCTCTGCCTCCTCCTAAGACAGACCGCCATCACCTCGAAGGGATGGTAAATGTCGTATCTTGTGGCAAGCAACATCTATCCTGTATCACCAAATACGACCATGAATCCAACCGCTGGAAGCAGATAACATCATTTGATTTGGGTTCAAGGAAAGGAATATGCTTTATAAGTAATGCTGATTACATATATCTTATCGGTGGTATCAATCGAGAAACAAACGAGATTCTGTCCGTCGTTAACAGGTATAACTTACGCACAAACAAGTGGGAAAAAGTAGCTGATATTCAAGAAGGGAGGGAACGAGCTTACGGAGTCGCTTCTCAAGGAAAAATTTTTATCACTGGTGGCTCCAAGGAAATCTGTGTTTCAACATCTTGTGAAATGTACAACGAAAACACCAACAAATGGCACTCCATAGCCAGCCGTCGCATGCCACGACGTCGTGGAAGCATGATCTGTGCCGATAATAAGTTGTATGTAGTAGATGGTTATGTTTGGAACGAGAGAGGATTCAGAGGAAAGATCGAATGTTATGATGCTGAAGAGGACGAGTGGAGCGAGGTGACCGAAATACCTGTGGAGCAAGGCATGTATACTTGGTACCTCGTGAATTCCTGTAAACTTAGACTTTTTAAAGAAACTAGTCTTCGATGGAAACCCGTCACTGTGTAAAGTCCTTCAAAGCCTAAGCAAATTATCAAGACAGACGAAGAGCTTTTCTAAATAAAATGGCTTCAGGTGTTCTCTGAGGCACAAAGGAAAAAGACAAAACGGACCGAATAACGTTGTTATGATGAATGGAATTATCAAAAGTCCTCTGATCGCCTTTTCTGGGCATTTGATGTTTAGACGCTTATCGCTCCAAACACACAATGTGACTTCTCTAACTGCCTGCTCAATAAACGACGTATATGTTACCAGGTCTTGAGCAGTGTTTAGAGGAACTGGTACTGACACATTTTCCGCAACTTGTAAGTTCGCTTGCAAATGGCACGCACGTGTATCGCGCGTAAAAGATGCCAGTATTCTGGTTGAGTATTATTTTGAAGAATTTTTCCCCTTACAGTTTCGGTGATGTCTAGTCCGCTTGTTTTTTGAAGAGTTCTTTTGAAGCGGCTTACCAAAATAAAAACTTAAATTAGTTACAAGCATCTCTCAATCCACGTATACTATCTAGAGCATGATTTCTTATAATTTAAATGATCCATTTTTTTTATTTGGCTCGGGTAAACAGTGCGATACTTCTAAAACGTGCTTGACACGTCTAGAACGAGCCTTAAACGAGCCAAGGCGGCCGTCACTGTAGGTTGGACCGAACAATAAATCTGTTTTCTTCTACATTTAAGATTGCCATTGTTTCTTATTTTCTATTCGTTTCGGAAAGTGTATAACTTAAAGCATTAATATATACTGATCAATCAATAGAGTTGAAAGCGCGCGCTCTGGTTGACCACTCAAACTCCGAATATCCATTGCTAATCACCTCCGAGAAACACCGAAAATATTGTAATCGTTGCAGGATTAAATGAGTTGAAGTCATCTATTTTCTTATTACCTCACCGTTTTGGTAAATATTAAATCACCAATTCAGAGAAACTATATCCATATGTAGCTAAACAAATTGCAGTTAAGATGATCATAAATTCACAAAAATACTCCTGCATCATCTTACTTCTTGTATCCTCTTGTTCAGTCTGATTGAATTTTTGACAATGGGTGAACATCCCTATCTACTTTTTTTTCATTGCAACCACATACCACGAATGATTTGTGGAAAATGGTTTTCCACAAGATATGTTCAAGTCAGTCTCGAAGATACCAATATAAGCTGTAGCAGTTACTACCTGTTACCACTTTACAATTCAAAACCACCTTTGCATATTTAATTTGTTTCCTTGATTTTGAGAGTTTGAACCTTCAGGAATTTAAGACCTGTTCCGTTTTCATACTCATTTCAAACTGTAGTGCGCGTTACTTTGTTAAACGTGGACAAATGGGACACTAAAGAATAGATGAAATACGAAAACACTTTTGTTTAATTATTCATCAGTTCAAACCTAGCTTGTTTTTGATAATTTCGTAGTATGCAGTCACAATATATTATTTGCATAACAGGTTGGTTTTCGACAAAACAAACATGAGAACAAAATCCTACATCACTTGACCGCATTTTTTTACATGAAGCACTTTTCAGATTTAAAAAGGACCCTTAAAACTTAATTTGGATCGAAATGGCAACTCCATTACAAACTGGTAGTTGTTTCAGCAGAGGAACAGACCTCCAAAATCCTCAAAAGCAGTTTCGTCGTCCATGTGATGTTACTGTAGTGGTTAAGGATGGCAAAGAATTTGATACGCATGGACATGTTCTCTCAGAGGCAAGTCCTTTCTTCGAGAAGCTTCTCGGCAGCGAAATGAGAGAACGCAAGGAGCGAAAAATTCGACTAGAAATGTTGACAGAGCAAATTTGGGGTAAAATACTGAGTTTTATTTACTCCGGCACTGTTCAGATACATAATGAACAGGATGCTCGGGACCTCATCTCAATGGCTGATTACTTTCTAATCAAGCAGTTAAAAAATATCGCCGGGGAGTTCTTGGCTCAGAATCTGGAAACGTCAAATTGTATTTCGACTTATCATTTTGCAGAGAAATATCGATGCGAAGAACTTCTTTTCGACACAAAGAGATTCATTCTTCGAAATTTTAGCACCATCGCAACCACGGAAGACTTCTCTAACATGTCGAGCAAAGAAGTAGAAATGTGGATTTCAAGTGACGAGACGAATATACAAGCCGAAGAGGACGTTTTTAAAGTCATTCTAAGATGGATTATGCGAAACAGAAAAGAGCGAAAACAGTATTTTTACGAGTTATTTCGTCACGTCAGACTCGCTTACGTATCAGTTACCTACCTCCGGAAAGTCATTGCGACAAGTAATCTCGTAAGAGACAACAGGAAATGTTTGCGACTCGTTAAAGATGCTATCAAGAAATCCAAGAAATCACATAGACCCTCAGTATGGCCTAGAAAGTCACTAGAAACTCCTCTTATAACAGTCTGCGTAGATAAAAGAATCTTCAGCTATTTCCCAAGACAGGATAAATGGTCTAGATTAGGAGAAAGCAAACCACCATGTTCCATCATATTCTCTTCCCGTGGCCAGCTCTATTTTGTTAATCAAGTATACCATAAGCTATTGCGGTACGATTCGTTCTCTCACCGTTGGACAACGCTGCCGTACAACGAAAAGAAAAGTATGCGGCAAGTTTATATTAGCAGTAAGGATGAAATTTTCGCCTTGATGATCGATGACAGAATATCGTGTCTCGGTTGTATTTCTCTGCGTTCATCTCGTGCATTAGAGAGCACCGAACACGAAGAGATTCAACACCCTCCGCGTTGCGGAAAAAGTCATCTTTCTTCTGTAATGAGGTACAGACCCGAAATAAACCTATGGCAAGAGACATCTTCATTTGATTTGGGTTCGAGAGATGGAATTTGCTTCGTTGCCAGTGAAAAGTTTGTTTACCTTATAGGCGGTCACATTCGAGGAGCTAACAAGATTCTGACTGATGTGGACAGATTCGATTTCACCAGGAACTCGTGGAGTAAGGCAGCTGACATGTGGGAACCAAGACACTGCCCTTATGGGGCTGCTCTACACGGGAAAGTTTACATCACCGACAATGGCGGCTACGACTTGGAGAACTTTACGTTCAAAAGGACGTGTGAGGTCTACAGCGAGGCAACGGATGAATGGCATTTCGTTGCAAACATGACAATACCACGGTCCCGGCATGGCAGTATGCTGTGCGTTGATGAGAAGATTTGTGTCTTGGACGATTATTTTAAGAGCATGAGTTACCTGGGAATTAAAATTCACTGCTACGACCCTGACAAAGATGAATGGCAAGAGCAAACAGATCATAAAATACCAGTAAAGAGAGGTTACTCAGTTGGATCCACAACTCATTATTCCCTCCACACTTGCGCTACGAGTATTTTTCAGCCGGGACAACGCCTTGCAAGCGAATCTTCCACGACCACTTTTGACAAATTCAAGTGTCTGATTATGTAGACCGATGCAAGCTTAAGTTACCATAAACGTATCCTCCATAAAGAGAAGACCACTAAACAAGTTTCATTCGGTAGAGGTATTCTGCCTGGGGTGAAGGAATTGTGCATATATTTAAAATAGTCTGGAAGTTCCTCCATTCTCGAACCTTCTCACAATTTTGTCAAATTCTCCATTTTCGCAGTTGTGTGCATATCTCGTTCTAAGAAGCGAACCTTGCTCACAAAGACAAACCCTGAGCCTCTATTTAATCTCTCCTCTCAAAAGAACTGATCGTGTGAGATGTATGTGTCTAAAAAAGTAATACCTTAGTTCAATAGCGTTTACCTTTGGAATAATCTCTACATGGGAGAATCATTTTAATTCTCTCCCATGACGAGTTAAGACCTCTCCTGTAGTTAGTTAATGCGCCGACATGAAGAAAAAAGGAAAGTACGATTGTTTTTATCCGTAGAGATCATAAAAAAAAATTACTGGTGGAGGCGCAGAGAGCAATTTGAACGACAGAAAACGAGAAACGTATGATTTCATGAAACACAATTTTTATGCTCTTTTACGTTGTACAAAAAAATTATTGGCAACAATTCTCAAAGTTATAAAAAATTCAATATTGCAGTATGCATAACCATTTTTTGGACATACACAACTTCTGTCGGAAGGATAACTTTCAAGGGTTACCGCCAGTCAGTAACGATTCATCGGAGTAAATTTCACCCTAAAACTTTACAACAACATCGGGAAAAATGGAATTAAAAGTACTAAAAGTAATTCACGTTCGCCAAACAGAAAATGCTGGCTTGTTGTCATGTTCAACTTGACCTGGCTTGTTCGTTTCTGCCAAGATATCGCCATCAACGGGACCGCCTGTCAACATAGAGATAAAGTAAGACTTTCAAGATGAAGAAAGTTCAGACTCTCTTAGAGTTACGAAGCACACTCAGAACCTTTACAGGAAGACTGCATTAGACATTCCATTAAACTGACTGCAAGTTTCATCCCAACATAGGCTACAACCGTCATATAGTTACAATTAGAACATTGTCTTACCAAGAGGAAAATCAGAGCTTTGTTGATTCACGTGTTTCTTCGCAAAGGGATTTGATTGCAATACATATGCTGACCCTGGTCGAGAAAACGCAGCCTAAAAAATGGAGAATATTTTTTGATCAATAGTCCGTACAAGCAAAAGGTAAAGGAATCGGCTCGAAAATAAATATAAAACTGGGTCATGAGGGGTTATACAAACATGAACTTAGTTTTGAAACAGAATAAGAAATATGGCAAGTTTTGAGAAAAACTTACGCAAAACTTACCATCTTTCTTATTCGATTCAGGGCGTGAAATTAACTTTTTTTTTCTGATAGCCACTTGGCTCCTAAATTCTTCAAAGTGGTAGCCAATTCAAAAAAAGTTGGTCGCCATTTTCAAAGACAAACAAAATCTTTCTTTGCGCTGTCAGCGTTCTAGATAGACCCTCCAAAATTAAGTTAGGGAATAGATCTTTAACGTGCTACAAAGTGGACACTAGGATGGATGATATACAACGTTCAGGCTCATCTAAATCCAAGATGGCGTCTAGTAATCGATCGAGATGCATGTGCTACGTTTTGGAAACAAACTTAATGAGGAAGTTTGCCGCGGATTTATCTTTGCAAATTTATTTAATTCACTATATCTCTTAGTAAGGTTATGATGAAACGTTGTAGTCGCCAATTTGGCGACTAACTTTCAGTATTTGGTCGCCAAAGTGAAAAATTTAGTCGCATTGGCGCCTGTATTAGGCGCAATTTCACGCCCTGCTATTTCCAAAACATGACAATAACGAGCTCAAAACTTACCATCTTTCTAATTCTATTTACAAAACATGACGCTAACGACATTGCTGATCCTAGCTATATGCAAGACGCGTGTCATATTTAAACTTCGAAATGGGCCTTGATCACCATAGAGTCTCTGTGGCTCAGTGGTAGAGCATCAGAGCGCGAATTACGAAGGTCTGAGGTTCGATTCCTCATGAGGCCTCAGAAGTTCTTCTTTGTCCCACGCTCGTGAAAAGACGAAAAAACATCTTTCTCTATGGACTTACAGAGAGCCCCAGTATTGTTCACAGCCAAGACTGTCACTGTTATTTTGTTCACGTACCTAAACTGTATTTACGATAATTATATTCAATCACGCGCCAACGACGTTACTCAATTGTGTTTAGGTAAGGTTTTCCAGTTTTCGTTTGGCCATTTTCATGCACAGAGAGCCCAACAACAAATGACAGCTGAAAAGGGGACTAACCCTTTAACTCCCAAGATCTGATTATTAATTCTCCCATCGAGTTAACAAACATTTCCTTGTAAATTTGTTAAGAGAATTTGGTGTTAGATCGAGAAAACAACCTCTATCTGATAAGTTGAATATTCTCGTCACCTGTTAGCTGGAAATTGTATGGATATTTAATGGAGAAGTTACATATTAATCACTTCTGAGAGTCAAAGGGCTAAAGGCTCCTTTAAAACTGAGCCAAAATTTTGGATAAGACGATTGGTTTCTCTAAGCCAATTCAGTGCCTCATTTTCAATTCACAATGACAAAAACTGTTATTATCTACAGCAAACAAGACATATCATGTGTCTATTTCACTTCACCATTCTCGCTTTTGGGCCTGATCCAGGCCTTCCTGATGAACCTCCTCTGGAACTTTCCTCTAACTAAATTTAAAAAAAAAAGTGATTGTGGTTGTGTAAGATAATCTTGTCTCACACATACCAAGTTTGTGAGTTACCATATTTCTTTGTTCAGTGACCAAGCTCAAATTTACAAAAATTCTTACTGTACTTTCAAACAAGAAGCTTTTGTTCATTCTACAATTCTGATCCTCTGTTTCCTCTGTACCTGGCATGATTGCTTAACTAACAATTTCATGCAGTATCATAACCTTAATGTGTAGGTATGTACCAATGTGAGAGCCACCATTCTGTTCAGGAATCCACCATAATTGAAAGAACAGAGCAAACATGTAACATACAGTAGAAGTATCTCTTGAATTGATAGAGCATCATTTAAATCAAATGCAAATAGATGACCATTTCCTTTCATGAATCCTGTCTCCCTCACCTTTTTTATGATTCCTTTCTCTATCAGTTCCTGTTTTGATGTTCGGGGGCAGTTCAGAGCTAAACATTTGAAAAAGAGAATGAAGTTGCACTTTCCAATCTAGATAATGTTTGACAAGTAAATATATTTTCATCATTTTGGCATGGCCCCAAAAAGTCTTCTGAGTGCCTGGTAAGCTGGTTGTAAAGGTGGGAAGGGTACAAGCATGATGCTTGGGGGAGAGGAAGTAAGAACTAAAAGAAGATGAATATTGAAGAGAAACAACTATCTTTTAAACAAAACAGTATGTGTTCTTGAGAGTTTACTTAGTGTACTGTACCTGCAAAATGTGGCCAAACTTTATCTGAAGCTGAAGCAAAGTCTTTTGCACTCCTTAAAAGAAGGAAAGAAAAATAAAACATGCCATTTCCTGTAGTTTTGAGTAAAATTGAATGCATAATAAACCATTTAATTTTAACAGGTTTAGATGTGTGAATTAGATGTGTGAAAAAAGGAAAGAAAAATAAGACATGCTATTTCCTGTAGTTTTGAGTAGAATTGAATGCACAATGAACTATTTAGTTTTAACAGGTTTAGAAGTGTGAATCAGTTTCAAGTTCACAATTGGTCAAAGGCTTATAGTAACAAAGTGAAATGCTGCTGACATTTTAACAGCCCACTAATAGGCTGACTTGGTATTGATTAGAGAACCATGACTGTACCTTCCTTCACCATCTGGGAGTTCAGGTTGCGCATTCCTCTCCAAAAGTAGCATCACAATCTGAAATTTTTTCATTCAAAATTAGACATTGGAACAATTGTTTTATGTACATGTGCCATCACAAAATATCAGTGAATGGCAAGGAGGATAGGTACATGTACATGTACATGTAGATAGGTACTCTTTCACCCTTTACACCCTAACATCAGTGTGCATATTCTCCATACTGTTCTCTCTACATTTCCTAAGGAGCTGACAAGGAGAATTTGTTAAACAATCAAGAGCTTCTACAGTTGGTGATCATTTCCTTTAATCTCATGACCTTGACATGTGATTTAAGGGGGTGATATTGTAAGGAGAAATTAGATGCTAGTCACTCTTGAGGGTTAAAGGGTTCACACTTGCCCTCAGTTTTACATAAGGTTTACAGCAGTTGCTTCATAGCTCTCTGCTAATTACAATGCTGCTTAAGTGACAAGTGTAGCACAATACTATACATAGGGTAATGCATACCTTTCCATGCTCTTGGAATGTTGCAGCATGTAGTGGGGTCCATAATGTGTCCCTGTTCTGTGCGTTAACATCTGAAACATGTCCATTTTAATTAAAGACTCTTCAGGTGATAATGATTAGCTACAGAAACATAAATTTTGATATTATACTTAGTAATTACTTACCAGCTCCCTTGTCGAGGAGAGTTTTCACTACATCATAAAAGCCCCAGAAACATGCTGGAAACAAGAGAGTAATGTCAATAAAATTAATATAAAAAGAGAAGAGGGAAGGGAAAAGAGGATTTTTTGATGCAAAAAAGAGAGTTTTTATTTAATCTTATAATTACAAACTATAAGTTGAAGCACACTGTTGTTACAAGTTTTAAACATGGAGAACAACACTGAGACAGGAATGTTTCAATACCACTTCATGATGTTTCAACTGAACTCAACGCATGAGGAGGAGTTATTGTAAAAGAGGGAGGAACTGCAAGGTAGGATCAGAGGCTTGTGTTTTCAGAATTTTTACATGTATGTCAAATTTTATTTTTATTGCTTACATGTACATCTATCAGCCAACTACACTTTACTTAGAGGAAATGAAACAGAGTTAGGCAAGATACCCATAATTTAATTACATTCTATAAAAACTGTTAAGATTGTCCATATTAGTTAAAATAATTGCCCAGTTTAAGCCTGTATGAGTAAGTATAATCTAGGCCTTGCCACTTATCCAGGTTGACTTGGTAGCGAGTGTGTTTGCCTTTCACTGAAAACATCAGCCTGCGCATGGATCTACACTATTCATTGTATTCAGGATGCACCATGCTGGTGTTACAACTGAGTTGAATTTTTTATTGGCTTTATTCTAGGTTCTCAAACTTTTCTCCAATCACACAAATCAACATTCCAAGCTCCAATTCTCTGCTTCAGTCCATTTGTGCAATTCCCCCTACTGTCTGCATACAATTCTTTGTCCATTTAGAGAATTTGGTATTGCATTAACTACATGCAATAATCACATAGTTGATGTTTTTCTTCATTATCATCACTTGTCTGCCTGATATTTTAAGGAGAAATTTTGTTTTGGTCACTTGTAGGAGTTAGAGGGCTAATGAAATTTTTGGGCCTTGGCAGTAAAGATAAACAAATTCATTACTCACGGATGTTAAGATGTAAAGAATAATGAACAATAAAATTTACTAATCAAGTCATCGATTTTATCAGAAAACTAATTACCGCTACCTATTTATCATCCAATTCTCTGTGGGACAGCGCTTACTAAAGAGGACTGGCAGTGCGCAAGAATTCGGAAATACATGTAGGCTAGCCACAAAAATGCATATTTACCAATATACAGCTGACTTTGAAGTTTTTCATTCGCTCCTCCACCGATTTGAACATCTTCAGTCATAAACTGTTCGACAAGCTTTTACAAAAGTACAAGGATAAAAAATAAAACAAGTAGATTTAAGTCAATTCGTAAGAAAATTCTGCACATCAAAGATCTAATCACACACAGATATAAGCTGTTTCACCGACGAAAATAAAACTATGAGCGCCTTATCCTTACTTTTTCATCTCCCTTTTGTGCTAGAGTAGAAAGGTCAGGCGTACGTGTGTTTACTCCTGTCAGATGTCTTTGCAAATCATAATCAACTTCTTCTAACGACTTTCCATTTCCATCCGAAACTGCCGCCATATTCGTCTTTGGGTATAAAACAGTGGTAATCTTATAAACAGAATAAAGGTCCGCTGTACTCTGTTGCGAGGGCGCATTAGAACAAGATGGCGGCGAAATACCTCTACATAATACTGAATAAGTTTTAGCTTGATATTTTAGCTTGTGCTTAGATGAAGATAATTATACGATGGTGAGGACTTTTAACGGCCAACCATTAGGACAATTCGCCAGGAATTTAGCTTTGGCGGGTAAGGAGAAAACTGCTTTGTCCTGGATTTTACAGAATCTCAACCTTTCTCTGAGATCACGGCATCCTCATTTTCGCGATCAGTTTTGATTACAGTTTCATCCTTCTTCACCAGTTATCGCTGGAACTGGAGGAGGTCTTCTAGTCAACACGGCACGTCGTGACTCAGAACGAGCTAAAAGATTAGTGGGCTATGCTGCCCTGACTGGTAAGTCGTGTTAAAATCTCAGCTACGCAGTTTAAGTTTGAAGGATTTCTTTTCGTAGTGATTGTATTTTAAGCGGCTCAATTTGAGCTCATTTTGAAAGATAGTAATAGGTTATTTTAATCACACGTCATGACTCCTCCATCACAAGAGATTATAATCATTATTTTCATTATTGTCACAATCATTACAATAATTCTTATACAGGAAAAACTTTCTTCAATACTCATAAAAAAGACCTATGTACAGTGCTTCACTTAAAAAGAATGAAATTTGTTCCTTAACATCTGTTAGAAAGAAAAGAAAAAATCATAATGTCTCAATATCTCTTGAACTATAATCCACGAAATTTTTTCTCTACTAATTATTACTATTACTATTAGCAATCACTACCAATATTTAACATCTTTTCACTAATTCCTCTTTAAAATCTGCCACGGTTTCAACATGAACCAACAACGATAAAAACATTAAATAGTAGTAATAAATAAAATGCAATATTCAATATCTTTTCTCTAAATAAAAATCTAGCGTCCTAAAAGTCCTGCTAAAAATAATAATAATCATTCTTATTGTTATCATTTTATTATTACTATTATTATTATTATTATTATTATTATAATTATTATTTTCAATGCTGTTAGACCTTTATTTTAAACACAAAGGGAATTGAACCTTTACTGCTTGTGGTGTTATTTAATAGATAGCAAATGCTTAACCCTTTAACTCCCAAGATCTCATTAGTAATTCTCCTTACTTTCTGCAATACAGTTTTTGTGATGTTAGTTTGGAGAATTTGGTTTTGGATCAACTTGTAATTCCCTAATTACTTTCTACAATATGGTTCTTGTGATGTTAGTTTGGAGAATTTGGTTTTAGATCAACTTGTAATTCCCTAATTGAAATTTGTTCTTTATTCTCGTCACTTGTCTGCTTGATATTGAATTAATATTGTAGGGAGAAATTCTGTCTTGGTCACTTGTGGGAGTTAAATGCCTAATTAAAACTACCTTGTAGAAATGATGCAATAATGAAACAAAGATTTAAGAAGTAAATTACAAGAAAATAAAATGAGTTAAAACTGACACTCATCCTGTGAGAGATTCAGTATTTCAAAGGGAACATTGTCATATTTTAATGTATTTTGTTTAAATTGTAGAGATAAAAATCATGTGGTTTCTGAAACTTATTAATTACAGTACCTCTTTTTTTAGTATCCTATGGAACCTTCGCTGATTTACTCCCAAGATTCATTAGAAATTCTCCTTACTGTTTGTTATACGATTTATATGATGTTAGTTTGGAGAATTTGGTTTTGGATCGACTAGTTATCCCTTAATTTCTTTATTCTCATCACATTACCACTTAATATTGTATTGACATTGTAAAGAGAAATTCTGTCTTGGTCACTCATGGAAGTAAGAGGGTCAAGTGAGTCCAGTATCCTTTCAGCAGCTTGTTGAGAAAGATAACAATGATCTCTGCTGCTTTACAGTATGAATTGTTTTCTCTTGACATACAGTGTATTTCTTTTTGTGAGGTATGACTGGTGCTAGTATTGGTTATGTATTTGGAGTAGTCAAGAAGCAGCCACCAATCCTTTGTGCTCTTTCCTCTGGCTTTAGCGTCTTTGTTATTTCTGGTGCATTTTATGGTGAGTCAATATTTGATGTAATATGAATTTTAATGTGATACCAACATTTATGGTAAAGGAAGATAAAAAAAAAGTCTAAATATGATAAAATTGATATATCAATTCCCAGCAGCTCTGTGCATAGTAACTGGAAGCTGCTACCCACATCTATGAAACTCACCTTTTTGGAAGCTGCTATCATAATGTTGAGCATTGTTCTTATCCCACTTGGTCAGTATGTAAACACAAGAGCAAAAGAGTGATATAACTCTTCTGGAGAGTTGCACATGTCAGGGGTATGCATTAGTGGGGAAAAAGGCAAAAGCACAGTTGTGTCAGGAGCTATTTTCAGTCTTTCTCTTCTGGTCACTACAGATTTACATGCACACTCTGTACCCCTCAAGCTTCATTTTTAAACGTACTCTGTAAACAAATCTTGGCAAGGCATAATCATGCTGGTTGACAGTAAGTTTGATCAAATACCCCCAGTAAGCCTTTACAAGCTTTCTTGTAGAACTGTTGTAGATTGAGGTCTAAATTTTCATTCCTCTCTCCTCTCTTTTTCTTCATTTTTCTATCATAATAGTTTTGCGGGAGAATCTTCTGGTGTCATCAAAGGCTTATAAATGGAGAAGAATGCTGGATGAACTTCAGGGGAAACCCAACATGACAGCAAGAAAAGAAGCGATGACTGGTACTCAAGCCAGTGCCATTAGTGGTGGAATCAGTGGTTTATTGCTTTCTTTTACCTTAGGTACTTTTACACGCATTGTTTACTCTTCTAAAAAAAGGAGTAATTTTGTAATGACCTACATTATCTTGGTTTCAGCTGAATAACTAACTAAAAACACATGTACAGATCCTCAAATCTTCTGAACGTTCAGAGTATGGTTGTATTGCTATTACTGCTGAATGTGATACTACTCAGCCCATTGCAAGATATACCTAACATGTTTTCAGCTCTCTGGTACCCATTTTATCCCTGAGTGGAGAGAGGCACTCAGAGTCTTTGTGAAATCCCAGGAGGGTGACAATGGCTGAGGTTCATCACTTATGATAATTATTAAAGTAATTATATCACAAGGATAATTTAAAGGTTTATTAATTCAAGTCTTCAAGGTTTTATTTTCAATCTGTCTTCATAATTGTGTTTCAACAGGAAGAGGCTTTAGTGTGGCAATCAGTACAGCTTTACAAGGTTTAGTATTGGGAGTAGTTGGTAAGCATCTAGTAATTGTGAAATTTAATGAGGATCTTAAGAGTAAGCTATGGAAATTTTTAAGCTAGGAAAATTTTTTCATGGACTTACCCAATGGAGGTCACAACTAAACTTCTGCTGTGGTTTTATTGTCAACATGATCTCCAAAATAGTCTGCACTTAGTAGACATGTGAGAATTTTTATTTGGCTTGTGTTCTAAGATGATCCAACTTTGTTTGGTGTTAGGGCAATGGTCAGTTTACAAGTGCCAGCAATGGATTTTAGAGGAAAGAATCAAATATCATTATCCTGAACTGGTGGCTAATGCTAAAGCTTGTGAAATAGTAAGTTTCTTGTTTATGTATAATTTATTTGCTGTATGTCCATGTATCAGCCACACACAGATGTAAATGTAAAGTCATATTCAAGCCCTCTGGCCCACCCAACCACGGCTCATCCTGGTCTCCAAGGAGCATGAAGTAACTCTGGCTCTGTATTTGTACAATATTATAATGTTAGCCTGAGGGCAAGTGTAATTTTTTGGTATTTCCTAGGCAAGTAGGGGCAAACTTGAGAAGAGCAAAAGGGCTAAGATAAGACAGTGCTTCTCCCTATCAAGTGTGTCCTGTCATCCATTAAGCTCTCCTGGCACTTGCTGCTGCTTCTCTGAAAATGCAAACAGTCACATCTGTCTCACAGGCTATCGCACACCTTTACACCCTAACATCAGTGTGCAAATTATTCATGATGAGGAGAATTTGTTTACCAAGCAAGAGCTTCCTTAGTTGGTGATCATTTGCTCCATTCTCATAACTTTGTAGTCACTCTTAGGGGTGAAAGGATTGATAGACAAGAGAAAAACTTTATTATTTACTTATTTTTATATTTTTTTATTACTTGATTTGTTTCTTTTCTGCCCCAAATTGCTCTCTTATTTCCTTTTTCGTTTATATGTAGGGTTGGTACGACTGGGCGTATCAAAAACTGACCACTAGGACTCACAGCTCACTGGTGGATGAAAAAATTCATAGCCTCACAATTCAACTGCAACTTCTCAAGGAAGAGGAAGAGAGACTGCTGCAATTGAAGCAAGAGTAGGAAAATGAAAGTAAAACGTGAATGGAGTTTAAAAGTATCAAATGGGAAGACTAAACGCCAGTATGAGAAACAATAACTACAGAAACATTCGAACAGAGCAATGACAGCCGTTGTTTACTCTTGTCACGCAATACGTTTCTTTTGTTGGGAGAAAGTATGTTGCGTGACTAACCAAACAATGGTTGCGCAAGAGACTAGCGAGCATGCAGATATTTTTCTCTTTCACTGTGTCTAAAAGCAACATCACACAAAGTCCTTTCAATTCTTGACTGTCTTTCGTGGCTGGGAAGAAATTGATTTCCCCATTCTCATTTGTGCCGCGACACAAGTGGTGAAGCCCGCGAGTTTCGTGTTGGCGGGCAAAGTGAGCGTGCGAAAGGCTTTCGACAAATGACTTCGGGGAGTCTTCGCCGCACGTGATGCCGAATCTTCTCGCTAGCTAGATTTACCTTAACAGTTCGTTTATAGTCAAAGTTTTTCTGGACATTGGACATAGTGTGAAGAATTGTATGCAGGCCATTTCTCGAGATCCAGAATATTCGAAGTAGTAAATATGAGAAATAACACTCGTCTTGTGGTTTAATTTTGCTTTATTATTTTTTTAATGTTATTTTGATTGAGTTTGGGGTCAGAAATA